GGTGCGGTCAGCAGCGACAAGCCCTCGGTCCGCCCGGCACCGTAACGTACCCCATGGCGTGCGCAGCGGGACGCGGAGCTGGCTGCTCCTGCGCTCCTCCGGCCCTGCTCGCTGTAGTTAGCTTGGGCGAGCGGCCGTAACTTTGCAGACAACTGCCGAGCCTTGAACCCTCTCCTCACACGAGGAAATCTTTTCCCTATTTTGCAAATGAGGATCTGAAGCAAAGTGCCGTTAGAGGACTTGCCTGCAGTCGTGCAGGAAGTCCGGGGGAGAGCTGAGTTTGCTTCCTTTGCTACAGAATTGCGGCTCTGTAAGAGTGCAGATCGACTCTTTAAAGCAGAGAGGTGTGTGTGTGTGTGTGTGTGAAATGAATGAATGGCCTCTATAGATTGCTTTTAGACTTTCTGATTGGGGGTGGGTACTACAAAAACATTGACTTGTTAGGGATTAAGAGGGGTTTTTTTGATTGTAGGAAAGAAAGGTGCCGCTTAGAAATGCGTTGTTATACACCCTTGTGTGAAGACCATCATTTTATTCTTTCCACATCTTTCAGTGAATGTCTGAACATGTGCAGGGGAAAGTGTCCATGGGCTGTGTCTCTTAGGCTGAGGTTTCACACTGAAGTGAGCTAGGCAAGTGGTATTCTGGAGAAAAGTACGGGTAGTTTAATAGAGAGAAAACACTGGTTAGTTTGGAGGCTGCTTAAATACTGCATGTACCATCGTATGGAAGTTTGCTGAATGTGTAAACATCACGTGGCTAATTTGTCTGGGAAGCACCTGTCCTGCGGTGTGGTGCTGCAGTGGTGGCTGTTTAGCTGAAGCATTCACTACTACTCCAGCAACAGGCTGGATAACAACAAAGAGTGTGCTGGTCTTCATCCCTGCTCTGTCTCTTCCCTCCTTCCAGTGGGGTAAAACCAGAGCGGCTGTCAGACAATAATAGGTAGTTTTGCATGGCTGAAGTGGTGGCATCATCACTGTGATATCCACAGATGCAAGCAAAGTCAGCGTGTAGGAAGAGATAACGCAAACCTGACTATGGTATACTTAGGAGAAGGAAGGTGGGAAAGGAAAATGGCAAGTTTTTGGTCTTGTGAATCCAGAAACCTGTCTGTTCTGTTCTTCCAAGTCAGTTAGCTGGTCTCATGCAGTAGCTTTCAATTTTTGAACTGCAGCCCCCTTACACTTTGCACTGGAGGCCTAGAGCTGGTTAGAAATGTCACACAGGTGCATGACCTACACAGGTTTGCTTTTCTTAGTCACCTTTGCAGCACCTGTGGGACAGCCCATGGACTGCCTTCTTACCACCGCGGCTGGCAGAGAAAACACATCCTCTCCCAGCGAGCCCTGCCAGTGTCACATCTCTGCTGTGGGTTCCCTGTTCTCCATGCAGAAGGGCAGGGGTGATTCTTGTTTTCTGGATCTGCAGAGAGCTGGGTTCGCGAATGTTTGCTTTTTGGAGTTGTTTTAGGGAAAACTGTGAAGCTAAAAATCGGGAAGGCGAGTTCAGTTGTTCAGATGTGATCTCTTCCCAAACATAAATTTAATTGCAATTTAGAGAGAAAGTAATTGCTTACCAGAAGCATAGAAGCAAGAAGGTTGTTGGATGCAGTGAGCTGGAGAGTTGGGTTTTTTTCTTGTTAACTAATTTTGCTTGTGATGTGTGTGGAGATAGAGATGTGTCCAACATCATCCAGTACTGTGAATATTCAGTGCTGCTTCAGATAAGCCTGGCAGTTTAAACATGTGCTTGTGTCCACTCTTCCATTTCCTGAATGTTTCATTCATAGGTAGACAATGGGTGTTACAGCAAATCAAATCTGCCACACTCTGGTTATGAAAACATATGTTGGAGGCAGCTTTGTAATGCAGGTGTTAAACAATCCATGTGGAATAGTCAAAATGCAGCAATGTGTTTAGACATCGCAGAATATGTGATGGATCCAGCCCTCTCATGGGAAACATCTGGAATTCAACTAATGCCCAGTATTTCAATGTTAAATAGTGGGGTGTTAAATTTGTCTCCTCTCAGATCTGGAGTAAAGAGGGAACTGGCTGGGGCTAGGTCAGAATCCAGTTCAGACTTCCTGCTAAGAGGTTAAAGTAGAATCTGCTGTTGCAGCAGTGCAGCAAACTGGGATCTCTAATCTGGTCTTTCCAAGGCTGACAGAGCTTTGGAAGCAGCTTGTTGAGGCTGAAAGCAGCTGTAATTCAGTGGGGGGTTTTGTTCTCAACAGCCCTTTTCTTCCTGACAAATAGAAGCCGTATGGCACAAATTGGCTTTCGAGAAAACCAGCGCTCACTCCTCTGGAGAGAAGGATGTTGTCAAGAGGCATGAGTTGTGTGTACGTCTTGCAGAGAAAACGAATGTCCTCTCTCTGCCTTTTTTTTTTCTTTTTCTTTTTTTTTTTTAATATCAAGGTCCTTTGTAATTCTGTGAATGTCAAAATAATAATGGCTTTAAACATGGACACAGCGTTTTACTTGAGACACCCGGTGCCGGTGTGAGCCAGCACTGAGGCTGGCCGCTGCTGGCCAGGTACCAGTATGTGTAACTGAAGTTCTCTGTAGAAAACAGTTGATGCCCAGTGTGCTGCCATTGTTGCAAAGCGGGTTTGTTGTTTTATGCCTATCTGTTAATTTCTTGTTTCTAAATCCTTTTATCTTGTCACTAGGCTGTTCTTTGGAGTTTATTGCGCTCCATTAGGGATCGGTTCTCAGAATCAAGGAGTTAGAAGTGAGATTTGAGATAAGTGAGGCCCATTCGGTGCTGCTTTGGACGCCTCCAAAGGGAAATGGAGTTATCAGGATTGAAAAAGAAGAGTTTGCTAGGACTCAAAGAAAATAATAAAAAATCCAACACTAGGTAATCATTCTGTCCGAATTTTCTAGACATAACAAAACTGGGGATGTTACAGGGTACCAGGGCTCTCCCAGTGAGGGTGAGGAATTGGAAATGTACTTCTTGCTGCGTGAATTTCTGTATGTGAGAATTTCTGTATGCTGTAGCTGTCTTCCTCAAAGCTGCTCTGTAATGTAAAATATTTTCCTTTTAGTGCTTTAACGCCGCAGTTATGGTGATCTTGAGTTACATTTGAATGTTCAATGTTTTGTGTTGCTGTTCTGTTTATTGTTTGGGTGTGGGGTTTTCTGTTGTTTGTGTTTTTCTATATTAAACATCTTCTACAATTTGTTCTTGCAGGGCTCCCTCACCAACTAAGCGCAAGGATAGGTCTGAAGAGAAATCAAAGGACCGGTCAAAGGATAAAGCAGCCACTAAGGAATCAGGTGAAAAGGATCGTGGTCGAGACAAGACACGCAAAAGACGCAGCGCGTCCAGTGGGAGCAGCAGTACCAGGTAGTTACTTTTACAGGTAGTAACAAATGACAGTGTTTTCAGAAGCCACCAGCTTGATTTCTGGTATGTTTCATTCCCTGTGTCGTGGACTTGCTTAGTCACAGTGCAGTTTTGTCTAACAGAAGGGTTGGTTGGTTTTTTTTTAGGTATGAGTTACCTTTGGTTGTCTAGTGACCTACGAAGCATCGGTTTTTGTTGTTCGAACTCACAGTTGCTCTCTCTCTCTCTAATTATCTCTCTCTCTCTAATTAAGAAGTTTTTTCAGCCATTCTTTTTCTGGGTACTCCACTCATTTTTATTCCTCCTTGCCCTAACAGATCCCGTTCCAGCTCAACTTCCAGTTCAGGGTCCAGTTCCAGCACTGGTTCTAGCAGTGGCTCTAGCTCCTCTTCGGCCTCAAGCCGCTCTGGGAGCTCCAGCACCTCACGCAGTTCCAGTTCCAGCAGCTCCTCTGGATCTCCAAGTCCATCTCGACGGAGACATGACAACAGAAGACGCTCCCGTTCCAAGTGAGTTTTATTTGCCTTCTACGAATTACCAGGTGGCAGGTTAATTTCTGTGTACAGTACAAGATTGTGATCAGAACAGATTTTTTTTCCTGAGGGTCACTTGCTTTCTCCATAACTTAGAGATCTGAATTTTGTTAGTCTGAGTGTGCTCCTTTTGCTTATGATCAAAACAGACACCATACACCTCATTTTAAGGGGTGATTTTTACATGTTATATTTTGTAGAGGCAGTTTTAATCAATGTTTCTCCAATACTACAGGACTATATGGGGACGAGATGAGAGTAAACTTCTTTGGTTCTTGTAAATTACAGCCAAGACTAATAGAAAACTCAGGGCTGAAAATTATGTATATGTATATTCTTATGTATAAAAAAATAAAACAGGGGGGTGGTAAAGAAAGCATTTTCCTGTAAGAGTAGGATTCAAACTACGTTACTGTCCATACAGTTTTTCCTTTGGATAGTTCTGCAGGTGAGGTGCTGAAGGCTGATAAAATCTACTGAAGTAGTATAAGCCAGTGTGGGTTTTTTTGTATATCCTTCAATTTATGAACAGTAATATTAGGAAGAAGCATAAATATAAATTTTCTGCATACTGAATTCTTAACAGATTGAAATTACATTCCAGATGTTTTATTAAAAAAAAAAAAAAAAAAAAACAAGGAAATTGTGATACTTAAATAGTTTTTTAACAGTGACATTTCTGGACCTCTGTAGTAAACAGAAGATACAGAATCATAGATAATTTGCCTGGTTGTGGTATGCTTTTGTATTTATGTCCTTGCTTTGCCTCTTTAATTGTTGAGGCAAAGAATGTGTTTTATTTTAACATCTGGGAAGTTCTTTAACTATGGCCAACAACTTTGTTTGCTGCATTTCATTATTTGTTACCCCAGTTGTTGTAAAGTTGAAAACTCACCAAAAAAGGCTCTCAAATTCCAGAAGGTTCTAAAGCAAAAGCAGACAAGGCAAATATAAGTCCTGAGGTGTTCCTAAGTGGAACACCCCTACTACCACCCCAGCACTTCCTAACCTGTAACTTCCTAAGTAAAAAGATGCCCTTCCAAGAAAAATGGTACCTTTTATCATGTGATAAGGTCTGGCTTCTTGTTTTTGTCTGGCATGCTTCCTGAAAACTCTAAACATTTTCGGTTGTCAAAATCCAGGTCCAAGCCACCCAAGAGAGATGAAAAGGAACGGAAGAGGCGGAGCCCATCACCCAGACCTACCAAAGTGCATGTTGGAAGGCTCACTAGAAACGTGACCAAGGTAATAGCAGGCTTCCCTGTCATACCAGTCTTGCATATATCTTGTGAGAATGCATGAGGGGCTCTTTTAGAGCTCTCAAAACTTTTTAGTTGCTAGAGTGTTGCCAAGGTATTGCTTGTGGAAATTCTTGCTTTGTGTCAAAATTGATCAGTGAGGAAAATTTTGGTAGGATTTTACTCTGTTCAGCCTGGAAAAGAGAAGGCTCCAGGGAGATCTTATAGCAGCCTTCCAATACCTGAAGGGGGCCTACAAGAAAGCTGAGGAAGGACTTTTCATAAGGGCAGTTAATGACAAAACAAGGGGAAATGGCTTTAAGCTGAAAGAGGGGAGGTTTAGATTAGATATGAGGAAGAAGTTCTTCACTGTGAGGGTGGTCAGACACTGGCCCAGGTTGCCTGGGCTGCTCCTCCCTGGAAGTGTTGAAGGCCAGGTTGGATGAGGCTTTGAGCAACCTGGTCTAGTGGAAGGTGTCCCTGCTGATGGCAGGGGTGTTGGAACTGGATGAGCTTTAAGGTCCCTTCCAACCCAAACCATTCTATGATTCTATGAGTTAAATACAGTGCAGGCTTATGAGACTGTGTAGTGCTTAAGAGGTCTGTCTGCTTTGTCAGTATCCCAGACCTTGTATCCTGCCTTACTAGGAAGAAAATTGTAGAAGTTGGGACAATAGCTGAAATGACCTTGGAGGCATTAAAGCTATCTGGAGGCCCTTGATGAAGGGTCTGAAGAGAGCTGGGCTGGCTTGAGTTGTCTTTGCTAAAATGTAGTTTAAACGTCTTCAGAGGTAAAAGGTTTAGGGTGCTGAAAAAAAAGATATTTTCTGAAATATTAACAATTTCACTTTAGAAGAGTTTTCAGCTGAGGGCTTAGGTTCCCTTTTGAGGTCTCCCAAGAGGATTTTTACACTAGTTGTGCTTTTGTAGCCAGTGTGGACATGCAGCAGTAATGCTGCTAGAACTGAAGGTTTGGAACAATCTGAGGAGGAACTGAATAAACAGCAGAGAAAGCAGTGGTAATTCTTTCCAGATCTGGCCAATGAAATGCGTCTCTTCCTGATCGCGGCATTGATTTAAAGCTAATCTAGTGTTGTGTACAACTTGGATTTACTGCTCTGCACCAGCTGGACCTGGACAGTAAATGTGGTCTCTATCCTTAAGAGTTGCTCTTTCTTTGCAGGATCACATCATGGAAATTTTCTCCACTTATGGAAAGATTAAAATGATTGACATGCCAGTTGACAGGCTGAATCCACACCTCTCTAAAGGTTATGCATATGTGGAGTTTGAGAACCCAGATGATGCGGAGAAAGCCCTGAAACATATGGATGGAGGTAGGTATCAAAGGCTGCAAGGGGAATGGGTGCTTTTAAAAATCTTTGAAACAGATGAGTTTGATCTGAAAATGAATTAGAGGTGTTGGGGAAGCCTTTGGGGAGCTGATCTGAACTAGTCTGTTTTCAGCCCAGGTGGCTTTGGCTTTTGTGTGGTTCAGGACAGATCCAAAAGGTCACAGAACTATTAAAGCTGCGTTTTTTCAAAACAAACAGTAATAAAAAGTTTCTGTGAAAATCTTTCCCGGTTAACATCTGAACTACAGTTTGATGGGATATTAGATTAAGAAGTCTAGTATGTATGTGGCCTTTGTCAAAATAACTCCTGAGCGGGTGGTGGAAATAGGACTGTAGGTTGATTCACGTTTCAGTTGCTTGTGACAAAGCTGTGAGATGCAGTAATGCGATGCGTAGATGCTGGTGTTGGAAAATACTTACTTCTTACTGTTCCTGTGCTTCCCTAAAAAGGCCAGATTGATGGTCAGGAGATCACTGCCACAGCTGTGCTGGCACCACGACCTCGGCCACCTCCCAGACGCTTCAGCCCACCCAGGAGGATGCTGCCGCCACCACCAATGTGGCGCAGGTCACCTCCTCGCATGAGGAGAAGGTGAGAGCTGTGACAATTTCTATGTCCTTCTCAGTGTAACAACATTATCACTGAAGGACTTGGTGTGGGGACAGTTTAATCCTGTTGGACTTGGCTTTCCCCTTTAAATGACAGTAGCACCTTTTGGGCATCAGTTGACCCTGGATTGTACTTCTTAACTCCTTAGCGCCAGAGTGACCTGCTCTGGTCTACACCATGAACACAGTCTGTTGGAAATGTGAGATTCTTTCCAGCCTGTTCCCTGGAGTCCCTTCTGCCATAAACGTTTTGAGGTGAAATGGGAATGGACTTCTGGCTGGCAGAATGCTTTTGGCAAGGCGCCTGCTCTAGCTGCTTTGCTTTTCCAAAGCCCACACACCTCCCTCTCTTACTTATATGAATGGGCACATGACCAAAAAGCAGTGCTTCTGCATCAGGTGAGCGGGGTACACTGACCCCAAGGTGTGACCTGACGTGCGCACACCCATTGTGTGACTTGGGGCTGCCCGATTGTGCTGAGGTAATAAGTCTTTTGGAGTCTTACTCAGCATGTAGATGGGCTCCTCTGTCTTGGAAATCTGCTTTGACTCTTGTCACTAAGTAAAAGTGACTTGATTGATGAACAGCTTATGAACTACGGGTTTAAAAATGACAACTAGTTAAGACAGCACAAGATCCACTGCCTGTTAGTCCTCCTTTAGACAAGCCTTTTACTGAGGTCTGACAAATGCTAGATTTGACATTCCCTCCTTGTCATTTCTCTTCTTCCCTAGTCTAACTTTTATTATCCTGTTCAGGCTCCGTTAATAGGCTGTGCCTGGAATACCTCGGTGTCATACAGGTTGATTATAGTACCAAAGAGCTTGAAGCTAAACTGTTTCTTTAGAGTTAGACTTCCTCTTAGAAATGTCCCTGTGGTTTGAAGGACTTTATATAAATCCTTTCCCTCAATGTTGCTGTGTAGCAGGAGTCAAAACTGACCTTTCAGGTGAAGGAGAATCTGAGGTAGAATGAACTCGAGCTTGTTTTGCTTGAGGAGAAAGAGAAGATTCTTGCCTGTTCTTTGAATATTAAACATTCTTTCAATTTCCTGAAGCAGAAGGAGGGTCACCAGCATATTCCTTCTGTGTAGTCAGTGTTTGAATTGCCCTTTTTTTCTCTGGAGCTGGCTGTATTTGGCTGGAGCTCCTTTACCGTGGGGTGTGAGGGTTTTTTGGAGGGGGGTGGGGAAGTGTTTTTGGGTAGATGAGCTGCCAAATTACTGGAACCTGTTGCTCTTTTCTCCTAATGAAAGCTTTCTCTTTCTTCTCTGTCAGGTCCCGGTCTCCCAGGCGCAGATCCCCTGTTCGCCGGCGATCAAGATCCAGATCTCCTGGACGAAGGCGCCATCGCAGCCGCTCCAGCTCAAATTCTTCACGATAAAGCAAAGAGACTGGACAGCTTTTTATTTTTTAACTTAAATTCCATCAGACAAAATATTGTACCTTTTTTTTTTTTATAATGGGTCTGGGTGAGGAGGAGTGTGAGATAGAGATATAAACCAGGCAGTGAAGGCAACCTGAGAGGAGAGGGCAACACTTCCCAGCCAGTAGCTAGCCCTTGCTGTGGGCTTCTAGTTTCCTGGCATGTAATTGAAATTATATAAAAATGGCTTTGATTTTAATGGTTGCAAAAGCATCTTCTCCAGGTAAACGGAAGGAAAGATGTTACAGCCTCTCTTTCTCCAGTTAGCAGGCTGCTGCTTGGTGATTTCTAAATGCTTAGCACGCTGTACAGATGAGCATGTAAATCTTGAGCTATTTCAGAAACCCTGTATAGTAAGACAGGAAGGCATTTAACTTGATTTCTAGGTGCCAGCACAGGATTTTTCAGAGCAGCTGGAGTCCAGATCTGCCTGAGACTTAAATACCGAGTTGTTGCTTTTTTCCAGTTCCCAAACAGATTATTAGTTTCTCCAGAGTAAGCTGTTTTCTGCACATTAAGCTCTTTTGTTAAAGCATTTATCAGGCAACTGCCGCAGAAACAATGGCCCAGGCCACTAAACATGATACTTTAGAAAAAAGCTGGGAATCTTTAAGAACTGGTTTGTAGCTGCCCCTGTCAGTGATTTATTTTGCCTTTTTCTAAAGGGTTTTGGTCAAAACTTCCTATATGACCCCCTGGTGAAATGGTGTGAGTGCTTCTGCTTCGGCAAATCTCAAATTGAGCATCGACCCCTGGGGAACTGCAAGGCAGAGAGGGAGGCTGGATTAACGGGGGTTCGCATAGGGAACGGCACAGAATTTACCGCCGGTTGTACAGTCAATACTATACAGATTTTTTTGTTTGTTTTGTATCACTTTGTAGCCTTTTGGGCCATGTTGTGTTTGTACTTGTGTAGGACGAGCGACTATTGAATAAAGCAGTAGCGTTGAGAATAACCGGCCCCGCCTTGCTCCCTCCTCCGGCCTCTTGCTCAGCGCGGCCTTTCCTGGGGCTTTGTACGGTAGAACCGGCGCTGTCCCCTCCCGAGCCGGAGCCGCGGGCGGGGCTGTCCCCGCTGCCCTGC